AATCTAACTCTACTGTATCTCTCAGCATTGTCATGCATGTGTTTGCTTTGTAAAAATTGCAAGAGTAGTACTGATCAGTAATCACGAAGTTCTTGTATCTGGAAGCTATAGCTACTTCAGATGAAATCTAAAAGGTCAGTCTGCCTGAGGAGAGCATTAATGTTACTGAGGCCTACAGGAAGAAACAAGCATCTCAGCTAGAAGGGTCTCTGCAACTGGTGAAGCCTGCTGAGAAAGAGCCCCTAAGGGAGCATGACACAGAGCTTTTATCTAGCCAGAGTCAGCACTTTCTGCCCAAATGGAAAACCAGCACTGCACCAGGAAAAGAACAAGTCTGAAGCTTGACTACAAGGACCCTGCAGAGTCAGTGAAAACTTTGAGGAAACAGAGACACCAGCAGAGGAACCCTGAATCCTGAGGGTTGGGATCAGAAACAGGATCAGGACTGGGTGAGGAACCACAGCCCCACACAACAGACCTGCAGACAAAACCCAACATAAAACATCTAGAGCATCCTAAGGAAAAATGAAAACAAAAAGGTAGGAGAAATGAGGAGATCAGATTTTAAAAAAAAAAAAGAAACCTTTTGATCGAGTTATTCAGATGCAAGATGTTCTAATCTTAGTTACATTCATTGGTCCAAAGGTTGAACTGTACCACAAACCTAATACTTCCGTGATTTATTTTTCGTCATAGAAAACTAACAGATTAATAAAAACTCTTAATTTTGTGAAGCACAATACCATCTGTACAGATGAACGCAATTATTAACACATAGCTACAACATATTACCACACAATTTGAGGAATAAATATCTGTAAAACCCAGAGTAGAAGGATCTATGAAGGCTATCTAGCTGACAGATATTCTCTAAAAATCACGGTTGCATGTGTCTCCATTAAGAGGAAACTGCAGGAGAAAGAAAGATACAGTGGGAAAAGTATTATATTTTAAAAGCATCTCCGTTATAAAACAGCAGGATAAAAATTGCTCTGCCATCTTAATACTGCTTTGCCTTCAATAAATATAGATGTTTTCACACATACTAATCAAAACATCCACTGTGTTCCCTCTGATTCATTGGCAATCAAAGGCACTACCTAATTTGCAATATGATGATTTGGAGTATTGACAATCGTTCACAAAGATTACTTGGGTTTTATATATTTTGTCTAGTCAGAGGAGGCAACAGCTTTGCAGCAGCAGAACATCATCTGGCAGTTAAGTACCATCGACGTGCTAAGTAAGTTCAGTGAATGTAGAAACAGATGGAAAGGAACTGTACCACACCTATTACAACTTCCTTCTTCATTGTTACTGCACCTGTGCCTGCACACACTGATGGAGACCAGAATCCAAAGACCTAATGAACTTTCAGAAAAAAAGACCATTTCATCCCTTTAGAAATCTTCCAGGCTTTAGGCAGAGATGAGCAAGTTGAGAAACAGTAGTGAGAGGTAGGACAAGAAACATCTCCCTGCTGTACCATGCACAAGAGGACTAAGCCTTATGTGCCTACTCAGATCCAGGTCTGTGTGAGCCAGGCATGTGCAGCAGAGCAGATGAGGGTGGAACACAAGCAGGGCCCTGGCACAAGGCTGGGAGCAGAAGCACCTGCTGCAGAGAAGTGTGTTGGCCCATTCACATCTCCACAACTCCACACATGAGACAGAGCTCACCTGCGAGTTTGAATGACCAGTTTTATCTACCATATGCCCTCATGGAGGTGAAAAAAGAGAGGCAAACAACATCCTAGCACATCCATTCTTAATGGGTGTTAATGAGGGGTGTCGTGTTAGATTTGTGGCAAATGTGTTTAGCATGGTGTGGTTTCAGTAGTATGAGTAGTTGCCAATCTAATCATATTTCAGAGAACTCCCCTAAGTACACACATATGAGGCAGAAATAATGGGACTGAAAAGATATATGCTGAATGAAAATTTAGCAGTCTGGGGAGATAGAAAAGGCAGATTAGAATGGAACTAAAATCAAAGCAAATTCTTGGGTAGCTTTTAGCTACTACTATGTAACTGCTAGATTAGTATTTACATATATGCAAAATATCTGCATCAGTTTTTGAGTTCATTTAATAAACACTGACTTTTCAGAAAAATTTAGCAATTAAGAACTGGAATGTATTCTAGAATAGTTTTGATAAGGATCTAACTGTAGTGTTTTCCAGAAATTACTTTCAATATTAATCTAAACTAGTCTAACCATTTTTTTCCCTTCCATGCCTTTCAACAGACAGACATCAGGTTAGTGAAGGGACATAACACTGCCACACAATCTGCTACATGCAGTTTCTGTTGGTAGGCTTTTTTATATTTGGGCAGAAGAATCAAATAAATGAGTCCCTGCCAAATAGTTACAGATATAAAATGGTAGATATGGTAAAGTGGTTTAACAGCTGTGGCTGAAAATGGGGAGCTACATGTGTTAATGTGGGTAGCACTCAGATAATTATTGCAAAATATTCTTAACAGGAGAATGATTCATAAATATTTACTACGCTGTCTTTGTTACCTTTCATCAGCAACCTCTCACATGGAAAAACAGAGATGTTTGAAACCTGCTTTTTATGGTTTGATTAAAGTCACTGCATAAACACCCTTTGGGGAATCTAGTCATCAATTCCCACTGTTGCCCTTCTCATCAGCCATTAGTAAAACAACACTTGATATTTCACATTTGCAGAGCTATCCAAATGGCTAACATAACTCAAGAAAAACATGTAAATATTGCATAGCTAACAAAGAAACAGACTAACTTCAGTTTGCTTTTTTCATGACTCTTAACTCTCTTCACATGAAGCCATCTTCTGACAGAAAGAAGTGCTTCGGACCCAAAAACTTCTGAAGTTACAGCTTGATGCCTATCTGTCATACAAACATTGCACATTATATTCTCTAAATTTTGTTGGGATGGTGATTTTCAAAACAAATATAATTTCATGCACAGGTGGGGCTAAACTACCCCAAAACTTGCAAAACACATTAAGACAGCAATTAGAAACACCATCTAAGAATGGGTAAGTCTGATATTAAGTAATAAGGGATGATATAAATCCAAGTTATCTATACAGAAAGCCACCAAATTCTCCCTTTATATTCAAGAAATATTTTTAGTGCAGTTATCATTCCAGTGTTTTAACTAAATCAGAAGGGGTTAGAATCCAAACCTCGCTTTCACAAAATATATTTGAAATACCTGGGCAATACATATGTCCCCATTATTTTGTCTGATACCTTTTTTTGGAAGCATGAGTTATAATTTTCCTGCCTAACTTATTAATCAGTCTGTGGAATAACAGATACATAATGATTCTGAAATATCATTTAAAGGACAAGGTAAACACACAGTCCATCTGACTTTAAAATCTAAATATTTTTTGTCAAGTTATTGTGCTTTTATTGTCTTCTCAAGAACAGAGTGGAAGAGCTTTCTTCTGCCAACTTACACATAATAATACGTGCTTCAAAATACTGTAATATTCAAATGAGTATTCTGCAATGTCAATATCATAATCAAACCAGTAGAATCAGAATTGTTTAGGTTGGAAAAGACCTCTAACATCATCAAGTCCAATTAATCCAGCTCTGCCAAGTCCACCACTAAACTATGTCCATAAGTGCCACATCTTCATGTCTTTTAAATATATCCAGGGTGGAGACTTGACCACTTCCCTGGGCAGCCTGTTCCAATGCGTGACTACCCTTTCATCGAAGAAATTTTTCTTAGTATCCAATCTAAACCTCCCCTGGTGCAACTTGAGTCCATTTCCCCTCATCCTATAACTCGTTTCTTCGGAGATAAGATTGACTCCACCTTGATACAACCTCCTTTCAGACAGTTGTAGTGAACAATAAGGTCTCCCCTGAGCCTCCTTTTCTCCAGACTAACCAACCCTGTTCCCTCAGCTGCTCTGCATAAGACTTGTGCTCTGGACCCCTCAACACCTTTCTTGTTCTTCTCTGGACACATCCCAACACCTCAATGTCTTTCTCGTAGTGTTTGTGGGGGACCTTACTGTTCTCTGCAACTACCTGAAAGGAAGTTGCAGACAGATGGGGGTCATTCTTTTCTCATGGGTAACAAGTGATAGGACAAGAGACAGTGGCCTCAAGTTGCACTAGGGAAGTTTTAGATTGGGTATTAGAAAACATTCTTCACTGAAAGGATGTTCAAGCATTGGAACAGGCTGCCCAGGGAAGTTGACAGAATTGCCACCCCTGAAGGTATTTAAAAGATGTCTAAATGTGGCACTTAGGGACATGGTTTAGTGGTAGATCTGGCAGCATTAGATTAATGGTTGGACTCAATGACTTTAGAGGTCTTTTCTAACCTTTATGATTCTATGAGCTGAAGCCTCACCAGTGCTGAGTATAGGAGGATGATCACTCCCCTAATCCTGCTGGACACACTATTTATTATAGAATGGGATGCCATGGGCTTTCTTGGCCACCTGGGCACACTGCTGGCTCATGTACAGTCAACTGTTGACCAGCACTCTCAGGTTCTTTTCTGCCAGGCAGCTTTCCAACTGCTCTGCCCCAAGCCTGTAGCTCTGCATGGGGTTGTTGTGACCCAAGTACAGGACCTGGCACTTCACCTTGTTGATCCTCCCACAGCTGGCCTTGGTCCATCAATCCAGCCTGTCCAGATTCCTCTGCACAGCCTTCCTACCCTCAGGCAGATCAACACGCCTACTCAACTTGGGCCTCATCTACAAACTGAGTGAGGGTGCACTCAATCCCCTCATCTAGATCATCAATAAAAGTATCTGACAGGATGCTGATAAAGGATCAGTAAAGGATCTGACAGGCCACTCTGTGCTGAGCCCTGCATAACGCCACTTGTGACCAGCAGCCACTTGGATGTAACTCTATTTGCCACCACTCTCTGTGACTGGCCATTTTTTACCCAGTGAGCAGTACACCCATCCAAGCCACAGGCAGCCAGTGTCTCCAGGAGAATGCTGTGGGAAATGGTGCACTTACATTTAGATGAAGTTGGTTACTCCACTGACCAATTACTTTGTATTCTGTACTTTTGTTGTTGATTTGATACTGAAAAATATCATAGCGTCCAGGAGCGTCTCCATTTTCATTGAAGACAACAGGTGTTCCAGCACTCCCTGAAAAAAAAAATTAAAAAGCAACTAGGATAAATACCTTTAAAGCAATTTTAAAAAAATGTTTTGAAGGAAAAAAACTAATTAGAGATTTAGAAGGTTCTTCATAATGCAAGACTGGTATAATCATAAATTCAGAAACCTCGCAAAGAGAAAATATGTGTTATTATCATCATCACAAAATCTACCCTATGATTCTGTGAAAACAATTTAAAAATCCACTGCAATCTTTTTGTCTGGCTGGATGTTTGAGGGTTTTGTGTGTGTGCATTACAGAACACTAGGAAATTCTGGGACAAAACAGAAGTGAAGAAATTCCTTTCGGCATGCAAAAGGCATAATTTCACTTTAGGATGTGAATACAGTGCAGTGGGCACAAAACAGCAATCTTGCATTGAACCACATAAAAATTTTCCCTGTTAGGTATGAAAATAAAATTGATATCATCAGCTTAGGAGCCAACATTCATAAAAGACCTTGAGATGCAAGTGTTTAAATCGAGTCACAGTTAATAGGATAAGTTTCTAGTGCTGACCACCTGTGTAAAAGTGTTCTATCAAAGTAAATTAAGGACAGCAGCTGTGCCTGTTGCTCTCTCCTCTATACATGACACTGCCTGACAGAAAGGGCCATTGCCGAAGCTGTCAAAAGTTATAAATCGACACTCTGTTCTTTCTTCGATCAACAAAATGTTCGAAGATTGAAAACTACACATCTACCTTGGCAACAAAGCCAGCCAAATTAGAACACATTTTGATGAATCCCTCAAGGTGACATCAAGGATATGCACTCCTACAGTCACTTTTCAAAAACTACACAAAGAATGTCATTTTCAGCCATCCCCGAAATTCATATATATAGGTGAATAATATTTATTGTTGAAGTCCATTGGAAACAAATTCAAGTATATTAAAATTCTATTTCAATGACTGTAGAAGAAATCTCTTTACTGAGGGAAAAACTCAAACCACCACAAAATGCATCCCACAATGTTTTCATGTTTCTCCTTGTGAGCAACCAAGAAAAGAACATCCAGTTCATAGTAGTAAATTCCTACAGTATAACACATGTTAATGTAGCACCTAGGGGCACTAAGTCCACTGTGAGTTTATCTCCAGAGAATGCCAAAAAAAGCGCTTGAAATTCTGGATACATATCAAGCAGAAGCTAGCTAGTAGAAGTGGGAACAGCAGGCTACACACCTCAGAATTTCAGCATAAATACTTCTTCTTGTATGTCTGTTTGTCCCTCTCCCGTATCTTGCTCTCTTGTTTTGTATAGCAGCTTTCATGTAAAACTGATATCCAGTGAAATAAACAGCGTTTAGAGAGTGACAAGTGGCACATTAAATACTGTGCCAATTTCACAGTTCTGCCAGCAGAAGCCTGGCTGCAAAAATTTGATGTGAGCAGCTATGAAAGAGGAGCATCAAAAAATTATGTGTGATAAAGACTTAAGACCCCATTAAGATACAAGAGACTCAACAGAAAATTTTTGAAAGCTCTTCATGCTTTGTTCCCAATTCTTTTACCAGAATGATTAGCAAGAAAAATGTCAGTCTGCAATCTTCCAAGCAATGAAATTATTCTTCACTGCTCACATAGCAGGTTGATGCAATAAATTTCTTCCACCCAATAAACACATACTCAACTGTTCTTGCTATGCAATTATGGAGGTAACCTTCAAAATATTACTCTCAGGTAATGATGGAATTCATCTTTCCACTCAGCACCATTTGAAGAGCTCATTGAAAGAACTGTTATTTTTATGAACAGATGCAAAATGTCCCTTGTATCCCTTAAGACCAAAGGGAACTTAAAACACCCATGCTCAACAGTAAGAGTGTGATCTTATAAGCTACGGCTGGTTTTAGAAATGTCATCTTTTCCTGGTTTTGGTTGGGATAGAGTTAATTTTCTTCATAGTAGCTAGCATAAGGCTCTGGTTTGGATTTGCAGTTATTGTTGAGCAGTGCTTACATGGAGTCAAGACCTTTTTTGCTTTTTGCTCCACCCCACCAGTGAGGAGGCTGGGGGTGCACAAGGAGCTGGGAGGGGACACAGCTGAGACAGCTGACCCCAACTGATCCAAGGGATATTCCATACCATATGGCATCATGCTCAGCATATAAAGCAGGAGGAAGGAGCAAGAGGGGGACATTCAGCCTGATGATGCTTGTCTTCCCAAGTCACTGCTACGTGTGATAGAGCCCTGGTTTCCTGGGCACGGCTGAACACCTGCCTGCCTATGGGATGTGGTGAAAGAATTCCTTGTTTTGCTTTGCTTGTGTGCATGGCTTTTGCTTTACTTATTAAACTGCTTTTATTTCAACTCACGAGTTTTCTCACTTTTACCCTGCTGACTGTGTTTCCCATCCCACTGTGGGGGAGTGAGCGAGCAGCTGAATGGGGCTTAGCTGCTGGCTGAGCTTAAACCACAACATATGTGCAAAGAGACAGACTATAGTACAGACCAGAACAATCTTTCTTTTTGATATAGTGGCATTCTCAGCTAAAGCACAACAGCATCTCATGCTGTGTACCTCAGTCAATATGGACATAGCAGCCTACTAAATTCAGCAGCCACCCTGACTGAGTCCAACAAGATCTTTCTCATTTATTAGAAATCAAAATGACCTTTGCCAAGTTAATAAAATTAAGCTTGTTAAAAGCTGGAATAAGTAACAGAAGATTCAGAGCCCCCAACACTCGACCTTTGCCAAGTTAATAAAATCAAGCTTGTTAAAAGCTGGAATAATTAACAGAAGATTCAGAGCCCCCAACACTGGGAAGAACACACTATCCCTTTGTTAAACAGCAGATTTTAGAAAGTATAGTAACAGTCACAGTGCCTGCTGTAAAATATATTTGATTATGTTTTAGCAATGCTGCCATAACTAATATATGCTGCTAGCAAGGAGACCATTATTTTAATATGTCTATCTCTTATATCTTAAGACTTTTACATATAAATAAGTCTCTTATTCCCAAGTGGAATGAAAAATTTTATGAACTACAAATTGGGAGGTATGCATGGGTGGATTGTGCTTATAAACCGTTAGCTGCTTAACCAGGAAAGCAAAGCTTAAAGGCATTTGAAGAAAACCAGGGGATTTTACCAAGGGTTCCCAAAAAAAGGAATGTAAGATGGTAGCAGGAGCTTTGAAAGCGTAAGGACAGAATGAAAGTGTACAGACAAAACTAGATGCCTCAAGGCTAGAAACAAATCACCAATGGCTAATTAGTGTTCTTAAAAAATTGTTAATCTCATCTGAAGAAAAACATGCCCTGGTGAATGATCTGGGTGAACAGTTCATCTGAGAACAGACAGTCCACAAAATGAAAAGGTTTTCTAAGAAAATAGACTTTGTCGGATAGTCCACCAAATTAAAGCAAATACTTCTGTGGAAAAAATGTTGAACACTGTATAGAGATCAGATAACTAAAACATGTAGAGAAACACTGTAACTGACCATAACTAACAGCATATGTGGAGGTTAACCTGGATTCATTCAGTATAGTCAGTATATAAATCTGAATTTAACACACTGTGGAGAGAAAGTAAAGAGAATACAATCACCTGAGGTAGTGACCCAGGGTTACATAAATTCCAGCTTAGATGAAAAAGATTTTGGGAAGCCACACCAAATAGTTCTTGGATAGGTTATTTACCTTAGAGAGTCAACTTGGCTAGCTTCATTCAAGAACCACATTTATTGGACACCATCATAAGAAAAATACTACCTTTGCTTAGGATAAATGTTCCGGCAATGCTAGTGTAGACCACCTAAGAATACAAAGCTGCCCATCTTTTTTTAAATTTTTAAAAATAATTTTTAAGCAGCCATATAACAAGGTAGCTAAAGAGCAGCGAGGGAACTGTGTCTCTGGGCCTTATCACATTTTATTCTATGTGTGGTTATGTTGCCACGAGTAATTTTAGTTCATGATTGACTCAGGTAATTGTATTCAATCTGTCACCATTTTAACTAAATTTTTAATATATTCTGGATGTCTAAAACAGAAATACCTGGTGGAATTTCAAGACTACATAGTAAGTTTGGATAACTATGGAAAATCATGTATGATCTTTCACCATCTTCATCTCTCCTTTCTGCCAATCCTTTTTTGTTTAGATTTGGTTGGGGTTTTGTAATATATAAATATAGTTACTAACTTATTTTGAGATCTGTTTCTGAAGTCTCTCTTTTCTGGGCAAAGGACATATTTACTTATTGTAAATATAAAGTAATAATCTGGTACTGAAAGAAATCCTCCCTTCTCCTTCCCAGTTTACAGCCAGCAGCATTAAACAACTCTGGGTGTTAAACTGGTGCAGTAGCTAAACATTTCTGAAGCAATGTGTCTGTGACCTCAGCCCTTCAAAATGCAGGTTAAGACAGCCAGAAACGTTGTTTAGAGAAGAAAAAAAGAAGTAAAATGTGTGAGTTTTTAAATTCAGAATCAAGGATGTAATAGATCCTTTTCAATTTTCAATGACTTACATGGATGTCAAGGAGGACTCTTTCTGACAAAAAACTGTTTTATGACAGGTCCTTTGTGCACTGGACCTGAAAATTCACATTCTTCTGAAGAAATCTTTAAACTCACCCTGAAAATTTACATTCTTCTGAAGAAATCTTTAAACTCGTGCCTTGATATTCTTGAGATGCTGCTCAGCAACTACCTCATCCTGCATATGCCTACTTTGTCAAGCTGCATTTCACATGATTCTAAAACACCCCTGCTCCTACTGAAAACTGTACTATAGTTCCCTGCGAGGTTACAGCACGCACGTGCCCAGATGCTTTCCAGTGAAGTTCTTGTCTTACATTTCAGGAAGTGGAAAAGAAGTGGATTGACTCGACAATCACAGGTTCATGTGTACTAGTGGCCAACTGTATATTAAAGTGATTAATCTATAAAGGTTCCTACATTAAGAACAGTAGTGAGCCATGGTTTTTTTAAGAAAAACTTGTTAAATTAAATTAACAGATGTGAATT